CCTGTCTCAAAACCAAACCAAACAAGTAAGTGAGCCAAAATAAACCTCTCCTACTTTAAGTTTTAGGTGTTGGTATTATCTCGGCAATAGGAAAGTGACTAAGAGCAAATTTCAAACAGCCATAAATGCTATGTAGACAATAAAACAAGGTGACATAATGATAGGAAGTTATTTGAGAATGAGTAATCTGGAAACGTTTCTTCAGAATGATTTAGGAAAAGACACAAAAAAAGAAGAAACTTATAAACAAAATCCCATGAGGCTGAATAGTTATGAATTCGAGGCCAGCCTGGGCTACATAGTGAGTTCAGGGGCAGTGGGATCCTGTCTCAAAACCAAACCAAACAAGTAAGTGAGCCAAAATAAACCTCTTCTACTTTAAGTTTTAGGTGTTGGTATTATCTCGGCAATAGGAAAGTGACTAAGAGCAAATTTCAAACAGCCATAAATGCTATGTAGACAATAAAACAAGGTGACATAATGATAGGAAGTTATTTGAGAATGAGTAATCTGGAAACGTTTCTTCAGAATGATTTAGGAAAAGACACAAAAAAAGAAGAAACTTATAAACAAAATCCCAAAGAAAACTGGTCTCAAGATAGAATGGTGGTATAAGGTACAGAAAAGCAGCAAGAGGACCAGTAGCCAGAGATTGGTGGGTAAAAAGAAGGTTAACAGGCTGGGGATGTAGCTCAGTGGTAAAGTGGTTGTCTGACGTGTGAGGCCCTAGCATCACAAACAAACCAGAGCACCATCAGATGAGATGTGCAGCAGGATCACACTATATAAGGGCCTACAGATTATGGAAAGAAGTTGGGATCTGCAATGGGAAGTCACTGAAGGGCTTTTTAGAAAGGGGCAGTAACATCATCTGATTATATTTTACAAAGATCAAGACAGGAGATGACACAAAAGCAAAATGCTTTTAGAAATACTGGTAGTAAAGAGATGGCTAAAGTATAAAATTACATCAAAAATAACAAATATTAGTACAATCCCTCAACGATGTATTAACACAACCACAGAGGAAATACAAAAACATTTTTTTGGTACCAAGGATCAAACTCAGAACCTTGAGCTTGTGAGGCAGGTGCAGTGGCACTGAGCTATATCCCCAGCCCACAAATACATTATTTGCATCAAATATGCCATCTAAAGTGAAATGATATTTAAATACAATTAACTGGTAAGTACATTCTCCTTTATAAATGAAAGTTGTTAGAAGTTCAGCAGACATAAAATGAGCTGAAGAGAAAGACATGAGCCATAAATTAATGAGCTAAGGTCATCAGTCACACATCCAAGGTGTGCTTAGGGACATAAACCAGGCCTCGGGAACTGTGCTGTCCAACAGTGACCACTGGCAGGTATCACCAGTTTGAACTGGAAGGTATTACAAATGTAAAATGCACATTTCAAAGACAATATGATACAAATGTAAAACATCTCAGTACTTTTTAATATTAATTTCATGTTGAAGTGACAATACAGATCAAGTATCCCTTATCTGAAATGCTTGAGACCAGAATTTAGAGAATTTCAGATTTTGAATTTTCATATCAATCAGAAAATTGATAAGTTGGGGTAAGTAAAATATGTCATTAAAATCAATTTCACCACTTATTTTCCTTATATGGCTGTAAGAGGCTTTGCATTATATATGTGGATCATACCCACTTCCACTGGACAATGCATTCTAGCCTTGATGACCTGAAGCGGCCCCAGAGCTAGCAGCACAGGTGTCCCCTGGAGCTGCCAACAGACTCTGGGGCTCCAGACCTGCTGAGTCTGACAGGGTCTATGTTTTAACAAGAATCCTGAGATGAGTACGCACGTACAAGGTAAACAGGCACTTTTTTTTTTTTTTTTTTTTTTTTTTTTTTTTACAAAAACCCAGAGAGTTAACTACGCAACTCTTTTTGCGAGGCAGGTGGTGGAACCACTGAGCTAAATCCCCTATACAACTCTTTTTGAATGAAAAGATATTGTTAAATTTTATTGCAAAATAAATTCATTCAAAATATTTATAAAGATAGCCCTCAGGGAGTTTGCTGTGGTGAAAATAGCACTGTAACACAGGGTAACTGTCCAGTGCAAACAGGACAAGGGAGAAAACACAACGGAAGCACAGGAAAGGGACACAGTGCTCTGCAGGAACAAAGATTAGAGTCAGGGAGCCCTGGGAAGTCCCTGCTAGGACCTATGAACTAATGCTCAAGAATGAGAGTTCTCTGGACACCAAACTCTTTCTCTAAGCTAAAGGCTTGAGTTCTTGAAGTAAAAGTAAAATTGGAGGGTGCAATTCAACAGCAATCTTCAAATTTACACTTAGGTGTTTGAAATATGAAATGCTTTCAAAGAATTCATGGTGGCACACACCTGTAATCCCAGCACCCTGGGAGGCCTAGGCAGGACAACTGTAAGTTCGAGCACAGCCTAAGTCACAACTGAGAGACTTAGCAAGACTCTGTCTCCATTAAAAAATTAAAAAGGTGCCGAAGATGTAGCTCAGAGAGAAGGTCCTGAATTTAATCTCCACTATGGCAAAAAAACAAACAAAAAGCCCTCATGGGTTTCTCTCTTCAGGCAGCCTCAGTCCTTAGGTGCCTGGCCATTCCTGCTGTAAGTAAGTAGCATGGCCCACTTTGATAGAGACTTAGCAAGACTCTGTCTCCATTAAAAAATTAAAAAGGTGCCGAAGATGTAGCTCAGAGAGAAGGTCCTGAATTTAATCTCCACTATGGCAAAAAAACAAACAAAAAGCCCTCATGGGTTTCTCTCTTCAGGCAGCCTCAGTCCTTAGGTGCCTGGCCATTCCTGCTGTAAGTAAGTAGCATGGCCCACTTTGATAAAACTCAGACTCGCTGGGGATTTAGCTCAGTGATTCGCCGCCTGCTTCATAAGTGCAAAGTCTCGTGAGTTCAATCCCCGGCACCAAAAAATAAACAAACAAAAAAACAGAAAACAGGGCAGGGGATTTGGCTTAGTGGTTTCGCTGCCTGCCTTTCAAGCACAAGGGTCCAAGTTCAATCCCCAGTACCATCCCTCAGGGAGTTTGCTGTGGTGAAAATAGCACTGTAACACAGGGTAACTGTCCAGTGCAAACAGGACAAGGGAGAAAACACAACGGAAGCACAGGAAAGGGACACAGTGCTCTGCAGGAACAAAGATTAGAGTCAGGGAGCCCTGGGAAGTCCCTGCTAGGACCTATGAACTAATGCTCAAGAATGAGAGTTCTCTGGACACCAAACTCTTTCTCTAAGCTAAAGGCTTGAGTTCTTGAAGTAAAAGTAAAATTGGAGGGTGCAATTCAACAGCAATCTTCAAATTTACACTTAGGTGTTTGAAATATGAAATGCTTTCAAAGAATTCATGGTGGCACACACCTGTAATCCCAGCACCCTGGGAGGCCTAGGCAGGACAACTGTAAGTTCGAGCACAGCCTAAGCAATTTAGCGAGATTCTCTCAAAACAGAAAATGAAAATGGCTGGGTGGGGATGGGCAACTTAGAGACTTAGCAAGACTCTGTCTCCATTAAAAAATTAAAAAGGTGCCGAAGATGTAGCTCAGAGTGAAGGTCCTGAATTTAATCTCCACTATGGCAAAAAAACAAACAAAAAGCTCTCATGGGTTTCTCTCTTCAGACAGCCTCAGTCCTTAGGTGCCTGGCCATTCCTGCTGTAAGTAGCATGGCCCACTTTGATAAAACTCAGGCTCGCTGGGGATTTAGCTCAGTGATTTCGCCGCCTGCTTCATAAGTGCAAAGTCTCGCGAGTTCAATCCCCGGCACCAAAAAATAAACAAACAAACAAAAAAACAGAAAACAGGGCGGGGGATTTGGCTTAGTGGTTTCGCTGCCTGCCTTTCAAGCACAAGGGCCCAAGTTCAATCCCCAGTACCAAAAAAAAGGAAAAATAATTCATAACTCAGAGTCATCACCTGATCCTTGTCCACCTGAGACAAGCCTACATCTACATGGCCTGATGGTGTTCTAGGATTACCTGTTTGAACTTCAGTGCTGTTCCCTTACCAAATGGCCAAGAAAAGACCTCATTTCCCTCAGGACTTGGGGCTGCCTCACATCTGCACTTAGATTCCTTTCATGAAAACAGCACAGAAAGAGGCAAGGAGCTGGAACCCCCAATTGGCTAGGGACTTTTCCTTTTCCATTGGGTCCTCAAGAAGCCATGGGGTGGGGATAAAGATTTCTTTTGTGTTTCCAAAATCTGTACGTTTAAATTGTTTTCAAGGGAAGAAAAACTAAGTTTGTCCTTAAAACAGTCTAGTACAGGAGTCCATTAAAAACCTCATAGAGGGCTAGGGATGTAGCTCAGTGGCACAGCACCTGCCTGGCATGAGGCCCTGAGTTCAAATCCCAGCACCCCCCCAAAAGAACCTTATAAAGAGGTGATGCTTGAGCTGAGGCCTAAAGAAAAGTAAACATTTTCCTGGCATACTTGGTCAGAAGAAACCATTATAATGTGAAAGAGAATAAGGTGAAAATAAACAGCAAAGCTTTAAAAAGGGTACAATATCTTTAAGAAATTAAAACCAACTTTCCTATGGGTGCATAAGGTATGGGTGCCCTTATGTTTTTTAGGGACTGACCCAAGGAGCACTGAGAGAAGGCTACATTGCCCAGGCTGTGTTCCTGTCTTCCTGCCTCAGCCTCCCAAAGCCAGGATTACAGGTATAGCCACTACACTTGGCAAAACACAGCTTTTACCAGACTCCTCTGCAATCAGTGTTGGCCAATGGCACATCAGAAATGTGAGGAGGTAATGAGGTACAGTACATCTTCCTCTCTCTTAATCCTTTTCTATCAGGAGTTATGGCCTAGGCTCCTGTAGTCATCACAGGAACTGTGTACTCAGGCAGAGCAGAAAGACCAGAGCCTGGGTGCCTAGTTATTCTACAGAGCCATCCTCTAACCCTGGGGCTAACAACGAAGACTAAGATGGAAGAAGAGGAGGAAAAGAAGAAGGGGAAGAACAGAGGAAGAAGAAAAAAGAAGACGAAGGAGAGGAAGGAGGAAGAGGAAGAAAAGTAAGAGTAAAGAAGAGAAGAAAAGAAGAGGAGAAGAAGAAGAACAAGAACAACTACTACTACTACTACTACTACTACTACTACTACTACTACTACTTTGGTCCTAACAAAGCAATTATTATTTAGGGGTTTTCCTGTTACATGTAACCAAGTCTAATTGGAAATGATAAAGCTGCAATCACAGACTTTATATTTCACACAAAGGACTATGGGTTTGTGTTATAAGTAATAAAAAGCCACTGAGGAATTTCTAGCTAATTTGCTAAATGAACCATATACTGTAACTCCCCAAAGGCCAAACAACATTAGATATACTATATAAATTTCTTCCCTGGATTCTATAGGTTGAGCTAGAAAACAAGGCAAAACAGTATTTTTATATATAAAAAACCTGAGTAATCAATTATCTGATCTAATACACTAGAAGTAAGGCCAATTACTTGTAAACTCATAGCTAACCCTGGAAGAACAAGAGTGAGGAAGGAGAAAAATGACTGAGACATAAGAAAAATGTAAAAGTTTGTAAAAATCAAAGCACCTTAAATTAAAAAAAAATTACACCAACCACAAGAAATGCTTCAAATCCAATTTCAAATCACATAAGAAATCCTTGCCAGTATATTCTGAGTATTTGACTCAGGATCAGAGCACTAACCACTGATACACCAACACTGTACCTGGCTGTCTAGCCCCTGACGGGGGCTCGATGGTACAGAAGAAGACTGGTTCTGGGATCTCCACCCCAGCTAGGAGTAGTCTCTCTGCTGCACTGCTTTGTCTCTGCTGCTTTTCTCCCTCCCTCTCAGCTCGCCGAGCTGCAGCCAATGCACTGGACTTGGAGGAGACAAGGGTGTCTCCGGTGGCAGTCTGCGAGCAAACACACAATGTGGAACAAAACTGGCTCTCAGCAAGCACTCACCTACACCAACAACTACCAGATAAAATTGAATGTGCCACTTTTTTCTCAACAGAACTCAAAAGAAATAAATTCATAAAGCTCACTGTAACTTTGTAAATTTAAAGCTCATTTGACTTGTGTGAGAATTTTATCCAAAATATTTCTGTAATAAATTCTAACAAACAATAAAACATACATACATGCAACACACAATCAGAATTCATTTGGCAAAGGCTGGGGATCTAGCTCAGTGGTTCTGCCACCTGCCTTGCAAGTGCAAGATCCTGACCTGATCCCCAGTTCCAAAAAAAAAAAAAATTCATTTGGTATAAGAAATGTACCTGCTTAAATTTTCAGTCATAGCACAAAAGGTTAAGGAGAAATCTGTTACACTGCTTTAATATCAGGAAGAATTTATTACTTTTTACAGAAAATTCTCTAACTAAAATTCACAATTAATCAGAATACCCTTCATCATGCAGAATTGATAGCTTCTATGTAGAACTGTTATTCTTTATAACTACAATTACTACAATTTCAGTTTTAATCTTTTACATCATAAAGTCCTATGCCAGTTTCCTTCTCTGTAAAGACAGTCCTATAAAGCAACAGTGCAATCACATTTGTAGAGCTCCTTCAAATTTGTACAAGGAACGGGTCCTGCCTTTCAGTAGACAAGGGGATACTTCAATACCAGAAGTTCGATATCCAGAGTATAGGGATTTTCTACCACAGCATTCTGAAATTTACAATTAACCATGTTAAAAGTAGCAGTGTTGGGCCAGGGATTTAGCTCAGTGGTGCTACCGCCTGCCGCCTGCCTCACAAGTACATAGTCCCAAATTTGATCCCCATACAAAGAAAAAAAAAAAAAGTAACAATGTTTACCCCAATTATAAATATACCAAAGTTTAATAAAACTGACTTAGTCCACAAACATACCTCCTTAGTTTTAATCCACCAAAAATAGATACAACATCAAGTATTTTCATCTGTTCATACTGTGTCTACTTCATTGCACTGATCTACAGACATAAATACCTACTTCATTACAAGCACTGATCTACAGACAGGAACAGAATTGTGAACAAAAGAAACAAAAATCCTGGGCCTCATGGAGTGTGCATTAGTATAATATCTTTAGTTATTTCCCAATGAATTGTATGATTAGATTTAATTCTCTGTAATAATCAAAACAGGTAAAAACCCAATGAGGGTATTTAAGCTTAAGTTGTATATATTTATCTACAAATTTTATATTTTACTTGGATTTGAGCTTTGTGAATATAAATATAACCCATTCGGTCTGTGTTCTACAATTTTCTAACAAATGTATGCTAATCAATCAAGTTGAATAGATTGTAACATTCATTATTCTATTACTGAAAGACTCTAGGTTTTTGCTACTACAAAATACTTACTTGTAACAAAATGTTTAGATTATTATTTCCAAGAGAAGTCATTTGGTCACTTACCTGTTTAAGCCCAACAGTCAAAGCAATGTTACCAGCAGTTAGTGAAGGGATTTCTATATGTTGGTCAGCAAATGGCAAAAGCAGACGACTTATTCTCTCCCTATAAAACCATGATTTGTATTAGTAAATGACTTTTTAAAAATGAGTACATTTTTAAGAAATAACCTAAGGGCCAGGGACTTAGCTCAGTGGTGCCAGCCACCACCTGCCTCACAAGCACAAGGTCCTGAGTTCAATCTCCAGTACCAAAAAAGAAATAAAATAAAAAACCTAAGCTTCTACTTACGTGCAATTTCCATTAATATTGTAGATAGCTGACTGGGGCTTTAGTGTGCCTGAGTAAATACGCATAAAGACCAGCGGTCCTCGCTGCTTGTGGTGGAGAACTTTAAATGCCAGTGCACATAAGTCACCCTTATACCACTCCCTATAAAATAAAAGGACATTCCAGAAAAGCCTATAAAATACACTTCCCATATGTCTCTACAGATCAAATCAGAATCATTGCAGAGAAGATCCCCCTTATCCTTCAGTACAGCTATCCAGGCGCATTAAGTAAAGTCACAATGTGCTTCTCTTCCTTGACTAAATTATTTAGTGACAGAGATAGGGTAATATCTTCAAAACTAAAAGTAATGACTCTCTCCCCATTATTCCTCTATCTGCAAATTATTTCAATGCCAAGAGCTTTCTCCTTGAGAAGTATATCTGAGAACAGCACATATACTTCTCAAGAAAACTATACAGGATAAAGCACTAGGTACTTTTCAGTATTTACTCTCTCCCATCACTTTCTGTCCAGCTGCATAACCATAATATTCTACAGTACAAACCTAAACTTGTTTACACCACCAACATTATTATTGGTGGTCACCAACAGGCTTTAGAAAGTTTGAATTTTCCTGAAATTGCCAAATTTTGTGCATAGGTGCATTTTTCTAAGGAGAGAACATATTAGTCTCAGAGAAGTCTATGACTTAAATTGGTTAAACACTTCAATGTAGTACTTCTCTAATCTTATCCTTACTCCTTCCAAATTTTAACTTTAGCAAATACAAATACAGAGAGCTTACTATATACCAGCACTGTTCCTTGTGCTCAATGTTAACTCACTGAATTTTTATAACAATCTTAGAGACAGTCTTATTCTCTGAATTTTATAGGTGAAGATGTTAAGCAACTTGGAAGTATTGGTATTTAAATCTAATGGTACAAAGCATATGCTCATAATCACATCACCATGATGCCTTCCTTTCCAATTTAGAGATGAAAAGTTATTAATATCCTAGTTAACAGAATTGAAGCCTGCTTCTCTATTTTGCTCAGACTTTACAGAATTTATCACTCAAGTACAAAGCTGTTAGTGACAAGAGTAAAACAATGGTCTTTGTTTACAGCTGCAAAATACTTTAAGCTTATGAAAAAAATCCCAAAATCTACATAAATATAAATAAATCTGAATGTTTAACAAACTTTTTTTTTTAAAACTAAGACAGCAGGGTCAACATCTATATTCTTACACAGCGAAAAGCTACATTTTGTTAATTCCATCTATAAACACAATAGGTTATAGAAGATGTAAAGTACAAGCAAAGTTTCAAGGAAAAGTTACTATGGCTCTATTAATCATTTACAAAGATATTCTTCACCATTGTTATTCAAAAGCAGTGATTTCACTGCTTTTTCTGAAACGAGGTTTGTTTTTACCTGTTTTTTTCAAGGCTGTTGGATTTAATCTATGTACTTACAGAAAGTCACAGTTGCATTCTTCAGGCGAAGGCAAATACATAGTAATAGCATCTAACAAGGGCTGCACTGCTTTGTTCTTCAGGGCACTCCCACACAGCACAGGCACCGCTGTCTGAGCCAGCGTCACTCTGTGTATTGCAGTCTGCAGCTACAGAACAGAGATACAAAGCAGAGCCACAGAGTAGAATACTGACTTCTTATCCAGTAAAATGGTCTCTGTCAGAATCTTTCAGAATTAGAGGCCTTCTCTAACCACTCGTGTAAAACAGCACTCCTCGCCACATCTCCATTATTCTTGATAGCTTTCTTTTTCATTATAACACTAATCATTACCTGGCTTGTTAGATACTTGTTTATTATCTGTCACTTACTCACTAGAATGTAAAATCCCTATGGGCGTTATAGTAAGCTCCATGGAAATACTACTAACTTCCCAGAAACTGGAAAAGTTTAAGATATAATAGGCACTCAAAAATACTTCTTGAATAAATGAATTAATATTCTTGTGATTCAACATTGATAGTTTAATAGAACTATATAATTTTTATAAAAATATATAATTTTTCCAAATGAATTGAACAAAATCCAAAAGAAAATGAGAAATCAAAGTTAAAAAAAAAAAGTTTAAAAGACCTCAAGGATCAAGAAAATGTTTGAAAGCTATTAATGAGAATTGATAGGCCAATCCCACTTTGGAATGGGAGCTATCTCTGAAAACAATTCGTGTTACACGGAATAAGGTAAGCATGCTTAAACATTTAAATATGAAAAAATTTCAAGAAATGTTTTTCATACAAAAGAAAAAAGTCACATTTTTTTTCTGTGTCTCACTTCATGTGGTTTAAAACTATGCCTCAGCTCTTGTGTTTCTAATTCTGTTCACAGATGATCATTAAGTGTATTTGTTGCATTTACCATCTTATAGATTACCACTTCATGCACACTTTGACAACTGTTTCATAAAGGAAAATAAAAATAAATTTGTCAAGCTCATGAAGGCTCCCCAGCAGATTCCAATCTCTTACAATTTAACTACTATGAATATTTTACATGCCTCCTCTCACATTTACTGTACGCTAAAAAAAGTTTTTTAAAAGGAACTTAGGAGTTTCCATCAGAAGTAAAACTAAGAAAAAAACAATTATGAGTGAAATGACATTGTAGTAGCCTGAATTAATGATTTCCCTAAACATCCATAGGAAAATGATCAGAATAAAGAAGAAAGGCTATAGAGGATGAGCAATTAACTGATCCTGGCTTTATGCAAGAAAGGTTCAATTTTTTATTTTGTAAAGTTTACCCAAAATAAACTGCTGATATTGTTTGAATATCTGTATCAGTGACTTTATCCTAATTTTGAAGCCAGTATTTTCTAACAGTACGTAAAGCTAGAAAAGCAAACCTATGACTAAGACAGAGAAATTAAACTACATTCAATTAGTAAAATTTTGTCAAAGCAATTGAATAATGTAATTACCTTTTCAGCTGGTAGCAAATCAAAATTTTCACTAAATTCACCTAAAACCAAGTCAGCAAATTCATCATCCAAATCTGCAACCTATAAAGAAAGTCTTTAAGTTCCATAGCTTGCATTTATTTTCACAATTAATTTGTCTGAATACCACAAATATGCATTATACAAATATTTCAAGGAAGCTATATGATCTGCCTTATTCAAGCTAGGCAACTCTTTACATCTTGTTTTCCTTTTAAAAAATAGGAAATTAGAAATTGAAGTAAGCTATTATGAGTTTCCTAAATTTACAGACAGTGAGAGCCTGATAAAGCACATCAATATCTAGAGTGCTCAAAGAAATGAACAAAAACTCACATTTTAGAGCCAATAACAACACACACAATGGATTGCTGGTTTCAGATAAATGTAGGAGTGTTAGTTAATAGAAAGCTTCATCTAGTACTTAACATTCTAAATGATCATCACATTTTCCAAGAAAGTAACTAACAGAACTGATCTTATTGTAATCCCACACTAAAGGAAAACATTTTAGTGGTGTTAGCATTGCTTCATAAGAAACGCAGTTCTCTAATTTATATTCTTTTCATAACCTTCTGCCTACATGAAACAAGATAATTCAGTTGACAAATTAATAAACCAGCTTCGAAAGCTGATAACAGTATAAGGGAGAAAAACATTCAAATCTTCTGAGAAAAACACTCTTACAGAATTAATTTTAGCAGGAATGTACCTAACCGCTCCCCTGGACAGTAGTGTGTGTGAGGCAAAGTCCCACTTCTGAAGTCAGACTGCCTGGAAATGGGTTAGTGAAGTTGCGCCCCTTACTCTGCCTTAGATACTCACGTAGCTAACACTAGGGACCCCCATCTAGGGGCTGCTGTAAGGAGTGAAGAAACAACCGGTTCCAATCATGCCTCAGGATATGTGGTAAGTGTACAACTGTTTAACTGTACTTAAAAATAATTATGATGGTAAATTTTCTACACATTTGCCACACTTTGATTTATTTTTAAATTGGATAATAAAAGTAATTACAAAAAAATGAAAGAAAATGCTGGTAGAATTTATTTGAATCAATTCAATTTAGAAGTGAAAAACCAATGGCCTCAGAGTCCAATTTTTTCCTACTGTAAGATTCAGGAGTCTACAGTATGTTTTACTTATTGCTCTATATACTAACAATACAAATGACAAATATTAATAATCTTGCTATTTTCTATTAAAATTTTAGGAGATCCAAAGGTATACACTAAAATTTTTTTCAAATTTCCCAATAATTTGACATCTAGTATAGAAGACGAGCAGACCCTTAGACCCAGCAATTCTATATTTAACACTCAAGAAACTCCTGCACATGTGCACAGGAGATACAAAGATGCTTTACAGCCAACACTGTCTGTAACAGCAAAAAAGAAAAAAACACCGCAAAGTCCATTTACAGGCAAACAGACAATAAATTTGGTATAATCATATACTGGAGCACTATATAAGAATGAAAATGAATAAACTACACACATGAATTAACACAATATAAAACAATGTAGTAAAATACTATTTGTATTTTATGTAAAGTTCATAACATGCAAAACTAATTTCTTTAGTAGTATATACTCTTGCAGTAAGCCATAAAGAAAAGCAAAATAAAAGATAAATCTAAAATACTATACTGGGGAGCTAGAGATATAACAGCAGTACCACATTTGCTTAGCATCAACCCCCAGCAGCAATTAAAAAAAAAACAACTCATTATTTATTTTTATACACAAATACACATATGTGCAGGAGATAGATGATTACCGGGAGAGAAACAGGAACAGGAAGTGTTATTCAGATTCAAGGGCACTGCTAATATTCTGCTGTCTGTGTATGTGGAAATTACACATACTGGTGTTTATTATTTATTATACTTTACATATTCCACATGTAATTTTATATAAAATGTCACAGTAAATATCCTCAAAAGTTACTAAATATTCCCACACTAAAGGAAAACATTTTAGTGGTGTTAGCATTGCTTCATAAGAAACGCAGTTCTCTAACTTATATTCTTTTCATAACCTTCTGCCTACATGAAACAAGATAATTCAGTTGGCAAATTAATAAACCAGCTTATATAATTTTAAATTCAAAGTATATTTTACTTGCTCAATTAAGGCATTCCTTGTTTCAATCGTCTCCTTCAGCAATTCAGAGTCACTTATTTCCAAGAGGGGTTTTCTCTCGAAGTCTTTTCCATCATCTGAATTAGAATTCCAAAGAAGCTTTTCTTTATTTACTACATCTACCACTCCTTTGAAAGTTTTGGCTTCACCAATTGGTAACTGTAAGTTAGAGTAAGATTAGTGCTATTAAATGATTGCTCACTTAGAACAGCATTAAAGACTATTCTCTGTACCACTTTCCCTAAAATATTATCATCCTCTTTTATTTATAGGTTAACTTCTTCCAAAAAAGGATAATTTAAGCAATTTACCTGTAAAAGTAGAGGCTTTGCCTTCAACTTCTCTCTGATACTTTCAACTGCATACTTAAAACTACAGGAAGCAAAATTAATTGTGGTTATAGTCAAAATTTCTTAATACAGGTTTGAGCATGTTCTCTAAAATAATCCCTTTATTCTTAATATTCATTTAACAGTTTTCCACAGGACAGTGTCTTGAATAAGCTTTAATATCAATTTCAGATAACAGTGATTAAATATTCACCATAATCCTACCACACAGGAGTTTAGGGTATTATTATTATTATTTTAAATTTTTAAAAAAATTTGGTACCAGAGATCAAACTCAGGACCTTGTGCTTGTGAGGCAGGCAGTGGCACAACTGAGCTAAATCCCCGGCCTGGGTATTATTATTTTTTCAAGCATCACACAAGTCAACCATGAGGATAGGGTTAAGTGAATTAAAGTCACATAAGTAAATAAAATAAAGATTTAAATGCAAGATTTTATTGGAATCATCCAGATTTATTGTCACACAAAACTACTAGCTTTTCTTGCTGGTGCCAAATCGATAGATTAATTTTTCTAAACTTTAAGATTTTTATTAGATTGGGGGGGTGGACACTGGGAGTAGAACCCAAGGCATTTGCATGGAGCTACATCCCTAGCTCTTTCCTTTTACTTCTGAGCCACAGTCTCACTACAGTGCCCAGGTAGGACTCAAACTTAGCATCTACCTACTTCAGTTTCCCAAGTGCTACAATCACAAGTATGCACCACTCCACTAGCTATATATATGTATATATAGCCTTAGGTATTCATAGTATCATATATTACGCTGTCCATTTATGAGGCTGGTACCTACTGTCTATAGACCATCTTGCTGATACTTGCAGCTCATTCCAGCCTCTATGTCTCAGAACCAACCTGATATCCAGGCATCTTCCTCCCCACCACCATGGACACTAAACAAATACTTTCATTTACCACAAGGATTCCAATAAAAAGAAGGTGGGCCTAGCACATTTTAAAGGTTGCTGTGCTATTAACTAATCAAGACAGGAGTACTTTAAACAGCCTTAGAATTACTGTGGAGAGTTGAGTAAGTATAAAGCATACAACTGTGTAGTTTTAGCTGAAGAACAGTTTTATGTTTTATTTTTGCCTCTCTTGCCATGACCAGGATCTGTCCTGCCACAGACCAGGGTCTAATCTTGTCATATTTCCACCTAGAATCCTTAATATTCTTGATCCTGTCCCATTCACATTTCTCCAAATCCTTCATATATTCTTTTTTGGTACCGGGATTGAACTTGGGTCCTTGAGCTTGCGAGGCAGGCAGTGGAACCACTGAGCTAAATCCCTGGCCCCTCATTCATATATTCTTGATTCTCTACAATACCTTCTCAGAACGTGGTTTCCATTTTGGATTATCGCTCTATAAGTCAACCATCATGCATTAACTCTTTTTTCTTATAGGCAAGCCTTTCACCATGGACATTCTCCCCTCGCTGTGTTGAGAGCCTTGTGCTTAGTAACCAAAGAAAAATAAGTGGCAAGCACGAATACTATTCTCGAAGGCAACTGCAAGAAATAATACTCTACCTCTAGCAAAGATGGGTAGCACAGTACCCTTCAGTAATACAGGGGCTACCAGACTACCATATCCAGTTCTAAAGGAAAGCCACAGAATCAACAAGAGACACTTTATCAGGATTCTACAAGGTACGATTTAGCCTCCCTACATTAGATGCAGAATTATTTGTCACTTAACAGCTTTCTGTTAATATTAAATTGTTATTTAACCTAAGGATTAGCTGCTTTGAAATTATTTTTATGGAAATAAATTAGTATTCCATAGAATATTTATATCTTGGAAGAGTATTTCTAAACTTAAGTTGTAGCCCATGAAAAGTTCACTTTAATAAACCAAATAAACACACTATATACCTTGCTCCAGTTTTGTCCATCTTGTTTAAAAAGCAAATCCGAGGTATCTTGTATTTATCTGCTTGCCTCCACACTGTGAGAGTTTGGGCCTAAAGGAAAGAGGAAAGGGAAAAATATATACACACTGGATATACACACTGGATATACACACATTGGACAAAAATAACATTACCAGACACAGAATAGATCCAAGAATCTTTCACACCATGGAATTGGGCTTGATTCTAGCATATACTTAGTTCCACTACAGATACACTTACTTCTAGGATCACTCTTTTGCAATCAAGTTTAAAAAATGGGAATATGATAAAGGGGGATAATTTGAAACTGTTTGATAATATTGTGGGTGAAGTAGGTTCCACACACAAAAAAATTAACAATTGGAATGTACCAAGAGTTATAGAAAGAGGACTAAATTGAGAATCAGACTTTTGTATAGCTTCATCTTTCCTAGTGCATGTCACAACACTGAAGCAATTTAATGTCAGTTTTCTGGTAAGTGAAATGGACTTTCACTGTAATTCAGACAACTGATGTGAGAGAGAAAAAAGGACACAGGAGTGTACAATAAAAATGCTATTATTGACAAAATCACAGATTTCATTGTGATATTTGAATGTTCATATAAACTAAGGAGGATTTAAAGGAGGGGATGAAACCAGTATCTGTATCTATAAGGTGAAATTCCCATATACTTACCTTCTATTAATTTCATTTTTTACATGTGTCAAAATAAGAATATAGTCAGACATGGTGGTGCACCCCTGTAATCCTACATAGCACTGGGGAGGCTATGGTAAGAGGATCATTGTGTGTTTGAGGCCTGCCTGGGCTACATAGTGAATTCAAGGCCATCCTGAACTACACAGTAAGACCCTGTCTCACAAAGAAAAAAAAAAGACATACATATATAGTCTATCTACCAAAACAAGTCTGTGGCTAGAGGAATCCAACAGTCCCAAAGCAAAGCATAAAAGCTTAACATGCTGACACTAGCTAGAAAAGAAACCTGTGTGCTATTTGTTTAGATGAAATGTATACACTATTAAATACTTTAAACATATAGTTCAACGAATTTTGATATATACATTTGTGTAACTACTACTCCAATCAAGATGGAGAATACCGTCACTCTACATTTTTCTCATGTCTCTCCCTCTCCACAAGCAACCTGTTCTGATTCCCATCACCAGATTCATTCTGCCTGTTCTTGAATGTCATATAAATACTACAGTTTCTTTAGCTCAACATCATGTTTGTGATATTCATCCATCTTATTGGGTATACTAGTTTATTTACTGCCATAAATATTCTGGTTTGTTTTTTTCTATCAACCCGTGGATATGCATTTAGGTTGCTTCTATTTGGGGGTTATTATGAATTTAGTTACTATAAACAGCCTAAATCTTTGCTAAATGAATGTTTGATTTTTGGGGGGATAAAAATACAGCACAGGAGATCTGCTGGGTATATGTTTAACTTTATAAAAAGCTGCCAAATAGTGGTTTTATGAGTCTTCCAAGGTGGTTGTATGATTCTACATTCCAATCAACAATGGATAGGAGTCCCACCTGCACAACACCCACATCGATACTACTATTCTTTTTAATTTTAGTCATTCTTGTGGGTGTGAAACAGACCTCTCTGTTATTTTTTGTTTTGCTTTGTTTTTTTCTGTTATTTTAATTTGTATTTTCCTGATGGCTAATGTGACTGTGCTTTCTGGCCATTGAATTATCTTGCAAAATGTTTGTTCCAGTCTTTTGTCCACTTTTAACTGAATTATTTTTGCTAGCCATTTGTTCTTCCTAAATTCTAGCTACAAGTCCTTGGTCATACATATATAGTATAAAAATTCCAGTAAATATTTCCCAAGAACAATGATATTCTCTTATATAACCAATACTATTACAGCATTCAGGAAATTCAATATTCTCATAATCTTTTAACATTACAAACACGTTCTCAATAGCTGTAGCTTGCTTTCCTTTTTCTTCTTTTTCAGCTTTAATGATGATACATAATTTGATAAGGCTAAATGAGTCAAACTTTTTCTTTTTATGACTCACACTTCTTAGCACCTCTCCAAGAAACAGTTCCCCACCCCAAGGCTGTGAAGATATTTTATTTTTCTCCTAGAAGCTATAGATTTAAGCATGACATTATAATGCATTCAAAATTAATCTGGTAAGGGATTACAGTGAGAGATGTGTAGGAAAATACACTAAGATGTTGGGCATGGTGATGCACACCTGTAATCCTAGCACTTGGGAGGCTAGGGTAGGTGGATAGCCCTGAGTTCAAGACCAGCCTGGACTACCTAGTGAATTCAAGGCCAACCTGAACTACATAGCAAGGCCCTGACTCAAAAGACAAAACAAAATGAAAAACACTAAGAATTCTCCATGAACAAAAACATTAAAGCACAAAAACACTTTCCATTGTTCTTCCTAAGCTAAAAGTCTCTCTACTGCGCTAGAACAGCGGTGGAGAATCTATGGGATGCGTGTTTTTCTTTTAAGACAAAAGATGTTAATGTATGAGTTTTTTCTTTTAAACTAAAACCTCAGTAGTCAGGTTTAATTGCAGTGTTGGCACACTGCAAGAAATAAGTGGGTTCTAGGTTATAGTTTGGAGACTCGGGCTCTAAAAGGTGCATCATTCCTGCTCTAAACAAGAGCTTCTTGCTTCACAAATTCAGGTTATTTTCTATTTCATTACATTTAAAAATTATAAATAATGCAATCTGCCTGAATATCAAATTTATATAAGGAAGTTCTAATAACACAAAGCACACAACCATTAGGAAATAGAGTGACCTAAAAAGAAAAAGAAATGTACAATCAACCTCAGAAATCAGGGTCAGGCTTTTTTTTTCCTTTTGAGGTAGGGTCTCACTATGTATTTCGCCTTGAATTTCCAGTAAGTCTATCTTCTCCTGATTTTCATTTTGAACAATTTCATATCTGTAGAAAAGTTGAAAGAAGAGCAAACACTCATGTACTCTTCACCAAATATTAATATTTTGCCACATTTACTTTTTTTTGTTTCTCCACCTATGGGTATATGTGTGCCTTATGAGTGTGGTGGCTGTGCAAGTGTACCACTGAAACTTCCTCCTGGGAGGAGCAAACTGATGGCCTAATTCTATCCCCCTGGACCTTCCATCACATACTTGCCAATGCCCAGCTTCCTGTGGGCTGAGTGCAGGCCTATTCCTGCAAGACATGGCATTGCTCTAGTAGGTAACTTTGGCTCCAGGATGCCCAACTGGGCTGGCCAAACCTTTTCCCTGGACCTTCCATCACATACTTGCCAATGCCCAGCTTCCTGTGGGCTGAGTGCAGGCCTATTTCTGCAAGACATGGCATTGCTCTAGTAGGTAACTTTGGCTCCAGGATGCCCAAAACCTTTCAAGGAACCACGCTGCATCTGAGCTTCTTCCTCCCACCTCCTTCAAGGGGTCAAACCTGTACAGTCACAGTGTTCTCTCTCCCTTGCCTTCCCTCTCTTGTTCTTTAGTCATTTCCTCCAGTAAATCTCCCATGATCTCAACTGACCCTATGCTGGCATCTACTTCTTAAAGGACTCAAACTAACGCCAGGTACATGTATGTGGATTTGGCTGGGTTGTAAGAGTAAGGTACAAATATGGTCATGCTTTAACCCTATCTACTTTTTAGAAGTTACTAATTATGTATTTCCAAAGAATGAGGACTTTATCATAAATGACCAAATACAATTACTACATTCAGACAAATTTAAGTTTGACACAATGTTTTTAAATCTAATACCTTAAGTCGATATTCACATTTCCCCAGTTTTTCCAGGGATATCCTAACTTTTAATTCTAGAATCCAACCAAGGCTCATAAATTAGTTTTCCTGTCTCCTTAGAGACCTTTATTCAAGAATAATTTCCCAGCCAGGCATGGCAGTGGACACCTATAATCCCAGCACAGATAGGAGGGTCATTGTGAGTTACAGTCCAGCCTGAACTACATAGTGAGACCCTCTCTCAAAAAAATAAACATAAACTCAAAAACAAAAAAAGAAAAATCAAAAAATAATTTTCAGCTTTTTTGCCATAAGCATTCATGATACTTAATTAAAAGATATTTTTTCGATTTCTAAAAATACTCTGGCCAGTTATTTTTTTCAGAATGTCTTCATTTAGAGTGCTCTGATTATTTTCTCATGACTAGATGTGGGCCATTTTTGGCAGGATACAACACAGGAAATTTGTTTTGGGGGGGTGTGCACCAGGGATCAAACTCGGAACCTTGAGCTTGTGAGGCTGGTGGTGGCAACACTGAGCTAATTCCCCACCCTAACACAGGAAATGTTGCAACTTCTCAGTACATCATGTTGTGTTCATTTGACTTATTTTTAAGAGTAGTCAATTTTGATGATTAATTAAAATAATATAATTAGTAACTTCAAGGTTAGGAGAATAGCAGAAGGGTTCCATAGTCAACATAAGCCAATGTTTCTTTCTTTTCTTTTTTTTTTTTTTGGTACCGGGGATCAAACTCGGGACCTTGTGCTTGCATAGCCAATCCTGACATTATAGGATGAAGGGGAAACAGCTGTAAAGCAGGAATAATTCATCCCTATAAAGAGAGCAGAACCTATCCTGCTGGAAATGTTTATTAGAAATACATTTCCAAAATTCATTCAGGAAACTTTATTGTGGTGCTATAAATTGAACCCAGGGCCGCAAACCTGCCAGGCAAGTACTCAAACACTGAGCTGAGCTATATCCCCAGCCCAAAACCTTTATATTAATTCTTCACAAATCTCTCATGCTTCTGCAAGTTATGTTAGGACAGGCACTGAGTTCTCTTTATTCAGGACTATCTTTTTTTTTTTGGTTTTTTGAGACAGGGTCTCAGTAGGTAGTTGAAACTGACCTGGAACTCACTATGTAGCCCAGGCTGGTCTTGAACTCACAGCAATCCTCCTGCCTCAGCCTCCTGAGTGCTGGGATACAGGCATGAGCCACCACGCCCAGCTTCTGGACTGTATTTTCAAGGATTTTTTTTATAGTACAGAGTCTTGAAACCAAGGGCAGGTTTGCTTACAGCCCGGGAAGATCATTTCTCCCTCCAGGGCAAAAAGGCAAGAATGCGCAAAATGATTCTATTTCCAACCACAGGATTCCTCTTAATTCAATACTTGTGCAGCTGTCACCTGACTCTCTTCATGTCACCTTCTAGAAATAGGGACTTGGAGAACCAGTACAAGAAAATGCTGAGACTCTGGCTATTAGACTGCTGTGGCTAATAAAATCCTTTGTCTCTTATCTCAGGAATCTTGTGTCTTCTGCCAGAATCCATGAAACTAGGGCAGGCTAACTTGTTAGCTTCAAAATAACACAGAAAACCAATTCCTTCACAGTTTTTGACAGAATTGTTACACTTCCTACAGAAAAGCAAACTATTTCCTTTTACTGTATTTGAGATCATGCACAGATTACATTTCTATATTAAATTCCAACTTCTTTTAAATATAATTTGATTTATATAACCATAGGATTACAGTTAACTAATTCTGGTACATTCTACTGCTTTTACAATCATGCCGTTCTATTTTCTCTTTAATAATATTTTTTACCTCTACACCAGCAGAGGCATCAAATACAGCTACCGCACCATCCAACACTCTTAGGCAGCGCTCAACCTCCAAGGTAAAGTCCACATGACCTAAGAAAAAGATGAGAAATACTTAAAATCTTTTAAAAAATAATCATATGGTCTAGCAATTTCATTACTGGGTATGTATGTACACATAAGTACTGAAAAGGGGCTCTCAAAGAAATATTCTTACACCCTTGTTCACAGAGGTATTATTCACAACTGCCAAAAAAAGTAGAAGTAACCCAAACAGCCCTCAATTCATGAACAAAATGTGATTTACAGTTGCTCCTTCATATTTAAGGGTCCTGAATCTTCAGATTCAAACAATCATAAAATGACAATATTCAGGAAAAAAACTGCATCTGTAATGAACAGGTAAATATTTTTTCTTGTCATTATTCCCTAAATAATAAAGCACAACAAAACTTATGTTATATTAGACACTAAATATATGAAAGAATGCATATCAATTAAATGTAAATATTACGGCACTTTATATGAGGGAATTGAGTATCTGCAAATGTATTGCAAGGGGGTCCTGGATCAAACCTTATGAATACCAAGGGACAACAATACACATGATGGAATACTCAAAATCCATGCTATAATATGGATGAATCTTGAGGGCTCCATGCTAAGTGAAACAAGCCAATCACAGAAGGGCAAAAACTATGATTTGACTTATATGAGGTATCTAAAGCTCCTTGATTCAGAAAGCAGAACGATGGTTACCAAAGATGGAGAGAGGGGACACACAGCAACTGTTTAACAGATACAGATTTTCCAATCTGGAAGATGAAAAAGTTCTGGAGATCTGCTTCACAGCAATGAGTTTATACTCAATACTATGAAGTATACACTTAAAAACGGTTAAGATGGTAAATTCTATGCCATGTATTTTTCACCACAATTAAACACACAAACACCACCCCCAAATGATGCCGCATCTCTGTATTGGTGAGAAGAGTACCACACCTGGTGTGTCAATGAGATTGACTCGATAACCCTTCCAATCAAACGAAACAGCAGCAGACTGGATAGTAATGCCTCTTTCTCGCTCTTGAGCCATGAAATCTGTCACTGTGTCTCCATCATCAACATCTAACCAGAAAAAAGATGTCATGGTTTAGTTTTAATAGCAAGAGTATTGCATTGGTATTAGGTATATGATATAATGAATTTGCTTTATAAAAAACACTTCCAAAACCTTTGATTTAATATTTAGAATCTTTAATCTTTCTCTAAGTGAATCCTTATTGTAGAAAAAGCTGTTACAGCAAGATCAGTAAATTTTTTAATAAAAAATTTTAAATTTTACTGAACCATATATTGTTCTTTTTTTTT